TCTCAAGCCACTGTAATACCACATTTCTGAAGCCCAACTCAGCTAAATAACAGTTGATTCAGTTGATGCTCCGTATTTGTGGGTTAAGCTTTTGCAAATTTGATTATTTGCAGTTTTGATTAAAATGTTATATTTAGGAATCTCTAGTCTTCCAGTGCAACTTTTTGATTGACACCCATAACAAGTTGACTATCAAGTCAAACTGGATGACCTAGAGATTTCTAAATTCTCCTTTTACTTTACAAATATCAATTTAATTCATTTTTTTTCTACGTCCATGGGAGTCTTGTATCCTTACCCCCAGTGAATGTGAATGGCTGACTGTGAACTCCCAAGAGTCTTCCATTAACCTATTTTTTCAAGTATTCTTTCTTCTTTCTTTCTCTGGAAAATACTTACCAGAGATGACTTCTTGTGACCCTTATGGAAGATCAGAACCATTAGGAGGTTGGTAAAAAAAGTTACAAATGTGAGATGTGGCAAGAGCTGCAGTCCTCTTTGGTCCCACTGTGGCCTATGTGACTGCCCACCCCTGGCAGTTTCCCATCCCTGCGATAGCCGTACCTTTTCAACTCATCTTATAATGCAGCTCCTACAAGTGGCAAAAACATTAAATGACCCATTACCTATGATAAAAATAAATAATGCATTTACTTATCTTAAAAAATTAATCTGTCCATGCTTGTTTCTATATATATGCCTAAAATTAAAGTTAAAATACATGCAATCTCACTGTTTGTCCTTTTACTAAAATATTCCACTACGATTTCTACTGCTACATTGTGTTCAAGCAATATGCATTTGACTGTTCATCCGATTGTCTTTGGAAGCCTTGCAAAATTCGTGTCCCACTTTTATATCACTTTCCTCTCAGAAAACTTTGATGTAAGTTCATTAGCGATGCGGCTGTGTGTGCCTATTTAAAATCAAATCCTCTGTAAGTCTACCTATTTACTACATAAATCTCTATGTATTTATGAAAGGTCAGGCATGAAACATAATTTATTCGGGACATCAGTTATCAGCTTTGCAGGAGAGTTGAAACTGGAAGCCTGAACAATTTTATGTGGAAGCTTAAGTTAAAATAAATCAATTAATCAACAGTCCATTGGTTAGGCTTGCCATAGTAGTGCTATAAGGAACTGCCTTTCTGCTCGGCATTTCTATTGCCATGAGGAAGTCTTCATTATTTGTGCAGTTGTGATTAAGCTTTAATTCCAATGAAAACAGGTTATGTAATAAGGCCACACATTATTTGCTAAGCTACACAGAGTTTTTTTTTTCTTGTGAAAACGAAGGGTATGTTTTTCAAATGGCCTCTGCTTTACTAGGCAATCCCACATTGATGTTGCTGTTTAGGCTTCACCTTGTCTTGACTCATTAGGTTTGTAATACCAGATCAGCAGGTACACCAACAGGATTACCTTCAATATTTGAAAAATCAGAAAGGTTTTTCCTTATGTATACCCTATTGGTTCCATGGGTGAATAAGAATGCTAGGATTTCTTGCCACATAGCTGCAAACCATTAGCCCTTAATGTAGCCCCCAAGAAACCTTCCATCCCAATGGACCAGATAAGAACATAATGATGAACATCAGAACCTGCACAGATTGGTTTAATACCCGTTATATGGAGTCGCACATTGATTTGTCCATGGTAAATTACTGAATGCTTGTCAATTAGAGATGATACAACATAGTAGCAGATAGACTAATTTTTGGGATTTACTTTTTGCGTTGTATCTGTCCTACCCCTCTGCACCATTTCTCCCATGGTCAAGCTGACTGGGGAGTTTTCAGAGTTGTATATTAACTTTCTCCAACCAAATCACAAGGGAATATTTCCTGTGTAAAGTAGAATTGAGTGTTTGCCAAGAGTTATCCACATAATATATCAGTGGTTTCTGTAACTGACATTTTCTTCAACCAAAATTCACTACAGATCCATTTTTGATCTCTTTTTCTTTCTTTCTTTCTTTCTTTCTTTCTTTCTTTCTTTCTTTCTTTCTTTTTTTTTTGGCTCCAAACATTATAGAGTCTGTTTTTGGCCATATATGGAGCTCATGCCATACAATCTCATTTCTATGTATCCCATTTCTATGTAGAGATTGATGTAAGCTTTTTAAATGTGTCATATTGCTAATTTCACAAATGTTGGGGTTTACAATTGTATTTTATGTTATGTAATCTGTCTTTTGATATGTTGTATGCCACTTTGAGTCCCACTGGGAGAAAAACAGGATAGAAATAAATAAGTAAATAAATTAATGAATTCATTACAAAACACCACAAATGGATAGGTGGGTGGAGTTTGAGAGGAGAAATAATCGTGTGTGAATGGATGTGCACAGATGCATCATATTAACATTTGTATGCACATCTTGGCTTTAGCTGGAGCTTAACTAATTTTACCATCCACAATGAATCTACTGAGTTAAGTAGTAGCCTTTAGTTTTCAAGGAATCTGCCACTGAAATAATGGACATTGGAGCCTGTAGTCTCCCATCCCATGACATTTTCCTGTCTGTTTCCATTTTCTCTTTGGCTCCTCTTCTGTTCTTCAGTGAGGAGTTGGGTGTGTACCTGACACTGCTGAGCTCCACAATTTAACTTCAGCAGACTGAAAGCCAAAACCAAGGTTACAACAACATCTGTTATAGAACTCCAGTATGCTGATGACAATGTCATCTGTGGGCATTCAGAAGAAGACCTACAAGCCACTCTAAACACCTTTGTAGAAGCATACGAGAAGCTCGGCCTGTCATTAAACATCAAGAAAACAAAAGTGCTCTTCCAGCAGTCACTGGCCAATCCCTCTCCAATGCCAGAAATACAGCTTAATGGTGTAACATTAGAAAATGTTGACCATTTCCATTCCCTTGGCAGCCACCTCTCCACAAAAGTCAACATTGACACTGAAATTCAACACCGCCTGAGCTCTGAGAGTGCAGTATTTTTCCAAATGAATCAGAGAGTGAAGACTGGGATATCTGTAGGGATACCAAGGTGCTTGTTTATAAAGCTATTTTCCTCCCAAACCTGCTATATGCCTGCGAGGCGTGGACAGTCTACAGACATCTCATGCAACCCCTGAAATGATTCCATCAGCGCTGCCTCCGAAAAATCCTGCAAATCTCTTGGGAAGAGAAGCGGACAAATGTCGGTGTGCTGGAAGAAGCAAAGACCACCCCCACTGAAGCGATGGTCCTCTGCCATCAACTCCGCTGGACTGGCCATGTTGTCCGGATGCCTGACCACCGTCTCCCAATGCAGTTGCTCTACTCCGAACTCAAGAACGGAAAACGGAATGTTGGAGGACAGAAAAAGAGATTTAAAGATGGTCTCAAAGCCAACCTTAAAAACTCTGGCATAGACACTGAGAAGTGGGAAGCCCTGGCCCTTGAACACACCAGTTGAGGGTCAGCTGTGACCAGCAGTGCTGCAGAATTTGAAGATGCACGAGTGGAGGGTGAAAGAGAGAAATGTGCCAAGAGGAAGGTGCGTCAAGCCAACCCTGACCGGGACCACCTTCCACCTGGAAACCGATGCCCTCAGTGTGGGAGAAGATGCAGATCAAGAATAGAGCTCCACAGTCACCTACGGACCTCCCGCCAGGATACTACACTTGGAGGACCATCATCTTTGGACTACGAGGGATTGCCTAAGTAAGTAAGTAAGTAAGTAAGTAAGTAAGTAAGAGCTCCACTTACACAATGCTGCTGTACAGAGTTGCATGGAGACCCACCCGAAGTAGCTCTGTGTCATGTGATGGGATCTGTGGGACTCCATGCTGACAGAGAAGAGAAACGGGGAGAAGACACTCATTCTCTGTGTCTGATAAGGTCAGATGTTACCACCAAACAAAAAATATTGTCTTGCCTCTGCTAATAGCATTACATCCTTCTGATTTTCGATTTATTATTATTATTCTCCCATGGGTGGAATTCAAAGCTGCGTGTGGTTGAGTGTTGATTCTTTTTATTCCTGATTACAATTACGAAAAGAATCTGCTAGAGCCTAATAGGACTTAATCTCTCTGAGTAAATAGGGAAGCAAAGTAATGAACCCTCCTCCCAAATTGGATTTGTCCGTGGAAATAGTGCAAGGGAGGCACATGGGTAGTACCAGCTGTATGTCTGAGACCCTTCTGCTTGCCCTGCCTCTTCACTGATGACATAAGATGAGCACTGCTATTTTCCCCTTTTAAAAAGAATAGAAAAAAGCTGAACAGAGTCCAGGAAACAAGCTTTTTGCCACAAGGATTTAATAATCCAGGCAAGCTTAAACACAGCACTGTGGGTTACATGTGAGGATGCCAGCTCCAGTGCTTAAAAGATAAGAAGGAAGAACAAATACTTCCCAAGTGTCTTTTTATTTCTTCCAAAGACATTGCAGGGAAGTAAGTAGCAAAGAAAAGGCACTGTGGCACATGCTACTATCTTAACTATGAGTGATTTGAGATCAAATTTCAGAGGTGGAACAATCTTTCCATTATCACCACTATTAGGGTGGACAAATCTATCAGTTCTGCTTTTGAATTTCAAAACATTCAAGATATAACACTCAAATTGCATTCTACTAACTTCAGTATATTCTCCTCTGGTAATCTAAAGGTAAAGGTAAAGGTAGTCCCCTGACATTAAGTCCAGTCATGTCCGACTCTGGGGTGTGGTGCTCATCTCCATTTCTAAGCCGAAGAGCCAGCGTTGTCCATAGACACCTCCAAGGTCATGTGGCCGGCATGACTGCATGGAGCGCCGTTACCTTCCCGCTGGAGCGGTACCTATTGATCTACTCACATTTGCATGTTTTCGAACTGCTAGGTTGGCAGAAGCTAGGGCTGACAGCGGAAGCTCACGCCGCTCCCCGGAATCGAACCTGCGACCTTTCGATCAACAAGCTCAGCAGCTCAGTGCTTTAACCCACTGCGCCACGGGGGGGTAATCTAACAGTATTCAATCTTCTGCCTCTCCCATTTTGTTCTTGTGTTTTCTTTCAGGTATTCTGTGAGCGAATGCCCAGCCTTCTCCGGCCATCTCTGAACTAATGCCCGGCCTTCCTGCCACATCTGAATCCATCCTATCTGATCCTTCCTTGCCTTCAAAGAGATGTTCTCTTTTGACAAAAGTGGAGCAGCTGGGCCACCAATAGCTCATTTCTTTGTTAACCTTTCTTTTGTCTATGGTGCAACCAATGCAGAATTGTACAAACCTAAGTTTTGTTGTGGAAAGCTTTATTCTGGATCTAACAAAATCCCCAGAATGAATGTATGACTTGCAATTTCATGAAGTATGGACAGATAGCAAATAAAGTGTTCAGTCAATGTAATTAATTGTAGTTACACTTGTTGCTTTTTTTTAAAAAAAAGTTGGTTATTGAGTCTAAACCCCATCTAGGCCCAAGTATCTTAGAATCCCATTTTGATGTATATAAATCAGGCAATGATCATAGTATGCATCTACTCTGTAGAAGTAATGCAGTGAGTCCGCTTTAACTCCCATGGCTCAATGCTATGGAATTATAGTTGCAGTTTAAAAAGTCTTTGGCATTTTCTGTCAAAGAATAATGGTGCCTCACCAAACTGTAAATCTCATGATCCCATAGTGTTGAATCATGACAAATAAAGTGGCATTGAACTGCATTAATTCTACAGTGTTACTCATATAGTAACACTAATGTTCTGGTTCATATGAGTACTAATTTTGCTGAAAGATGCACATGTGAGCCCATGGGATGAAGTGTTAGCACTGAAGCCCAATTTCATCTTTAAAGTTCTTTCCATCTGTTTTTAAAATTAAAGCTATTCTATCGCTATTGATTTCTTATGGCAAAAATGTTTAAATTATTATACTTTTTATTATTTAATTGTTTTATGTTTTCATAACTATTCCCTCAACCCCTATCTTTCTACTATGTTTATGTACATACATAAAGCGTGTTCACAGAGATTTTGTAAGGACCCAAAGTCAAACAAGAGAGTTGACTGCCGATAAGTAGTAGTTCTCAAGAATGCTTTGACCTGGTCATACATTTCATTACAAGGCCAAATCAAGCAAGCAGAGTCACTAAACAAAGTTTTCTTCCTAGTGATATCTGTCTTGCTACAGTTCTGAGCTAAAATGAATGTTGACTATTGTGGTGGTGGAAGGGGTTGTGACTTAGTTTTTTTTAAATTGTTTTTGTGCCTTGCTGCTTAATCCAATAGGGTTTATAAATCTTTAATTGCTCTAAATGCTTAATGATGACACGATGTTCGAAAGGCTGCTGGAAGCATTTGCAAGCAGGACAGAGTTACAGATTGAGAAAGATGTAAATAAAACAAGGGCAGGCAGGATTGATGTGGAGTTTGCTGTAAGATCGTTAGCATCTGCGGCTTTAATTATTATGACATCTTAGTCTGTGTGTGAGCTAAGTGTGGGGGTATGGGGGTGTGAGTTTGTAGTTATGTAATACTAGCTCTCAGGAGAAAAGGGAGTTGGGGATAATCTGTCTGAGGGGGTGGAGATCCACATTTTGAAAAGAGGAGGTGGTGTGTAGGAGAAGAATACAATCATCAGCAAGAAATTGCCTTTTATAAATCCAACCTTAAAATATTCAGCAGGAAGTGTCAGCAAATGGCTAACAGGGTTCTGATCCTTATTTGACCTCAAGAGATGCGTTGGCACACTAGAACCCAATGCTGGAACAGCAGCTTCAGGAAAACACTTGCTTATCTTTCTAGTCAAAGTAGGACAGAATTTCACAGGCAAGGGACTGATTAGAACTCATCTGAACCAGGTTTCACCAAGACAGAAGGTTGCTACATACTTTTAGCAAAGGCTCCACTCTGGGACATGATAGGGAAGGATTATAAATGGTTTTGCTTTGTACTAGTGTCTTTTCTGAGACCACTTCCCCTGTGATTTACGGTTTTGTTGTGATATTGTTGACTTATAACAGCCAAATGAATTTCATATGGTTTTCTTAGGCAAGGAATGGGATGCTGTGGTATTACCTTCCTCTGAAATTTAGCCTCCAGTTTCTGGGATTCCCTGGCGATCTCCCATCCAAGTTGTAATAACTATGGTTGACTTGTGTCCAAAAGCAAGTAGAATATGGTGCCTTCAACTACTTAGACCCTGAGGCTACAAAGATATGGAATGCTTAACAATGTTTTTATTTAAAACATGTTTGTACTGTCATCCATGTTACCATAGCTCAAGCAATTATTCATTGAATTAGCTTAACTCCTTGATTTTGTCTGGGGACCCAAGATAGTTGTACAGGACCCAAGGTAAGATGAAACTTAAATGTTAAAGAACTGTCTCTCTATCTAGGGGTGTGTGTGTATCTCAAAAAGAGAGGACTTTCAGATCACACATTTGACCAATTCTGAGGTGAAAATGGAAAAAAAAATGGGCATGGATCCATGCAATCCATGGGCATGGATTGCATGGACATAAAAACTGGCATTAACTCCATATTTGCCCATGCACAAAGTAGAGCATTGCTTCTTAAACAGTGGGTCCCAATGCAAAACAGCTCAATGTTGGGGTTGCGAAAAACCTGGCAAAAGTATAAGGTTTCTGAACTCCACCTAGTGGCTGTTTTAGGCATTTACATGCATCTGGGAGCAACAACATGGCATGTTTACAGTGGACTCTGCTGCAGAAATGTTTCAGCTGTACTCCCCCCCCCCCAAAAAAAAAAGCAAATCAGTGAAATCATCCAGTTTAGCAAGCCTCACAATTGCTGATTATAAGTAGTATATATTTGATTTTAAACCTATTTTATATACCTCTTTCCCCTTAAAAAATTCTCAGGCAGAAAGGGGTTGTGAGTGGAAAAAGTTGAAGCCCAGGATTAGAGAATACTTCCCTACTATTCTTAAAAGAAGTTCAACTATCACAATTATTATTACTGAAATTGTGTAGACTGTTTATTTGTTGAATCTTTTATATTTTATAAAAACTAAATATGTGAGGAAGGGAGTCTCTTTGCACCCTTAATTTAAGTTGAAAGGATTGCTAGAATCAGACCCACATCTGGGCATACATTCGTCTTGTGCTATACTTTGACATAACCTTTACTGTGTCTGCAGATGGAAGCCCCTTGCCTTACTATGCCTGCAGAATTTCCAGATTGTAAATGCTTCATGTTGGCAAATACCAATTAAGTTGAGATCAGCAAAACTCATGGGATACTTCTGACCTTTTCTTTCAAGCTTTAAAGGCTCCTTCAATGCATTGAAACAGAAAGGCCTGGTTCAATGCGACTGGGGAACATGATTATTTGGAAAATCACATTCTGGTGTTTGCAGTCCTCCTTCCCCTCATTCCTCTCAAAAAGGATTCATAGAAATCAAAAGGAATTTTGGTCATTTTCAAAGTCTGGATTGCAAGTTCTCTGGGCCCTTCCATAAAGCCATATAACCCAGAATATCAAGATCTGCTTTGACCTGGATTATCTGAGTCCACATGCCATATAATCCAATTCAATGTGGAATTTATAGAGCTGTATGGAAGGGGCCTGAATGGGCCTTTCCAGATATTACCAAATCTTGGGAGTAACTGGGATATTAAATCTTGATTTCTCCTGGGATTCAGTCTCTGCACCCACCTCAAACTCTGGGCTTTCCTTGAGGGTGGGGTGTCTCCATGCCCTTCAAGGTCAACCAGAGGTGGACTCAGGAGGGAATGGGGCCAGCTCCCAGCCTTCCATTTATCCCCTAAACCTACCGGGGGGGGAGGGGCTGGCTACAGGCTCAGGAAATCCCAGTTTACTCTGGATTAATTCGGGTCTACCTGAGGCATCATTTGGACAGTTTGTGAGTTATTGGAAGGATCCTATGATGAAGAACAGAATAAATGTTTTCCACCATCTGCAAATCAGCTGATCAATCTAACACTTTATTCCAAACGTGGAAGGTATGATTAAATGAGAATTCTAATGAAGTTCTTTGAGCAGAAGTGCCCTCTCATCAGTGTGAAAGGGAGTCTACATTCCCTTCTATTGATATTTAAGACTGGCCTTCTTTGAGTCGCCATGATCATTACATTCCAAGGGGACATGGCTCGAATGGATCAGGCTGATTTTCTGTCACTGTTGCATTTTCTGTCAGGTTGCATGAAAGACATCCTAAAAAATCATTGCCAGAATAACATAATCTTAGAATAACATACTCTCTGAGAATAACATACTCTCTTTATTGCCTCATTTTTTTCCAGCTGATTTTTTTAAAAATACCCTAGTTTTTCTCTCCATTTTTCTCTTCTGGCCTCAGTTTAATTCAATTGTGACTAACAGTGTTCAAAGTAGAAATGTAGGAAGAGAGAGAGGAGGGACATAATTGTGGACTTCCCAATCGGTTCAGACAAAAGCAAACTGTTGCATCTGCTTTTAGTTTCTGAAGTCTCCTTAATTAATAACTCTTGCCATCTTGATCACTCCCTAATGTTGTTCAGCCAGACATTTCATTATTTTCATCTATGTGGGATTGGAGTAAGCAACTATGGTTTGGGTAGACAAATGCTGCAAGGCACCTTCATATGTTTCCCAATAAGATGGCTCTACACAATCCATGAATTTTATTTCCTCACTGTTCACTTCCATTCCCCCTGAGCTTGTTCTTTAAAGTGTTGTCATTCTTAGTATCACAACCAAAGCTGCTTGCAATTGTTTGAAAGAGGACTGAGCACAAGAAACAATGAAACAAAATAAATCCGGATAAAATAAATCCAATCAAAAGGGACCAAATATGATAAGAAATCTCTGGTTATACTTTTGATCCCTGTTAATAGAATCCCATACTCCTCCACTCAGAATATATTGGCTATGTTACTTGGCAGCCATCAGTGGATTTATACACATATGTTCATCTTTTGAATTCTATTCACTTCACTTTTTCCACATTTCTGTGAAATAATTTTCAGCATATTGAACACAACTTAGGATCAAGCACCTTTACAGCTTAGAGTAAAACTTAGAATTGCACTGGAACTACACTTTCAAATAATGCAGTTTGAACTGCATTATATGACCAGTGTAGACCTATACAATGCAGTTCAATGCAGTTCTAACTGCATTATATTGGTCTACGCTGACCATATAATGCAATTCAAATTGCATTGTTTGGAAGCTTTAATCTATTATCCACTGACTTGGGGAGCCACTCACAAGATTCTATGGTCAACCTCCAACTGTAGCACCATTTCTCTTGTGGGGCATGTTGAGGAAGCTAAGAGACCCTCTGGGATCCAGCCACAACTGCTTCCCTCATTGTGCCTCGCCACAGCAGATGTTGAGCATATAGTCATGCTGGAGGGTCTAGAAATTCCTAGAAATATATT